TCCCTGATGCAAGAGAAGCAATACCAGGTTATTGTCAGATAATTTGATTGACCCTGGGTGCCTCTGTAATGAGACACCATCACAGTATAATTGTGTTACATGTGACAGGACACACAGTACTGCATGCTGGGGACCATGGTGACACAGCCTACTCTAATACTCCTATAGCATAAAGTATCAAGTTTAATCTTGGCCATAAAACTGCCTCATAAAACTTTACAGTAACAATGGAAATGTTCAACACCAAGGTCAAGATAAAATAAACCACTGGATAAAATATAGGTCCACCATTCTTTATCCAAATTCCTTAGGGCTAGGAATTGAGAATATTTTGGGTTTTAGAACAGGAATATTGTGCTTGTACTGAATAATATGTAATATCACCAGTAAGTCTGGAGCGATACCTGGTCCTTAAACACACTAATATTTCTGCAGTGAAATGTGGATATTCACAGTAAGCGAGACACGTGAGGAATGTGCATAACTTCACCTCATTGCAGGTCAAGTTTTGCTGTCAAATTAGTTACAAAACCTTTCAGTATTTCCAAGCCTTTTGACTTTGGAATTATGGATAAGGGATTAGGAAATTTATTTAAGTACTAGCCTTCAAACACTGTTTTTAAAGAAGATTTAATAATGTGGGACAATGTTTAGAATACAAAACAGTATGATTAAATGAGTGACTGAAAACAACAGAAGTTTTAAAAGTAGGTTTCCTGAAATTTTAAAATATTACACAAAGATATAGAATAATGAGTTAAGAAATCTACAGCAAAATAGTGGTTATTTCTAGGTGCTAGGATAATTGGTGATTTTCATTTTCTTCTTGGTAATTTTGTACATTTTCTAAAATTTCCATGAGGACTAGGAATAATTTTAACAAGGGACAAAGCTAGTTTACTCCCACAGCTTTTCATTGTTGTTACAAAGTGGATACTTTGGGGGCGCTTGCTCTCCCGACAGTGCCCAATCTGGGATGTTCAAGAGCATCTTCCTCTCGAGTTCCCAAAGCGGCCTGGCCGGTGCAGGGCGTCTGCTTGCTGGAAGGGGGCTCAAAGCAGTCACTCTAGCGGCCTCTGTCTCTTCCCAAGCACTCAGAACCGCAGCACAAAGTTCTTATCAGTTCTTTGCAGAATGATGAAGAGATACTGGAAACCAACCCTAAGACCCCTTTATCCAGCCCTGATGGCGTAATGGGGCAGCGGGCAGTTCTGCTCACATCTCTCTGACAGCACCAATGGGCTCCGAGGAAGCAGCCCTTAGGTACTATTTTCATTGATAGGAAAGCTGAAAGATTTGTTGCAAAAAAAGTGAATGTGAAATAGCCTGCTCACTTCAGAGCAATTTAGAATCATGACATCCGGACTCCTTCGCATTTGTGGAACTCTCCCATCACTTTCTACACAATACTAAAATGATTTGCTTAACTTATGGCTAACGTTCTTTGAGGGCAGGGACTGAATCTTATTCATCTTTATGAGGGAGGCGCCTAGCCCGGTGCCCAGCAGTGTATACTCAGTACATGCTTTTGACTGAACTGATGCATTTATAGGCAATACTTGTGCATATACTTATATTGCATGTATACACATATATACATATATGTAGATATGTAATACATATATGTGCACATATGTGTGTATGTATAATCTATCTCTGATCATTCATTTGTGTTTATTCATTCATTCATTGTAAAGGTGCCCGATGGGAGATAGTAAGAAATTAGCTGTCATTACAAAGGCCATTTAGAATTCCAGGTTATAAAACTGTAAGGAATGCCAGGTTATAGAATTGTAAGACACCTCAAATCAGCATTTTGCAGCCCCAGCTGCAGACTAGACTCAGTTGTGTGTTAAAAGAAAGTTCCATTGTCCAGGTGTTCTGATTTCTCTGGTCTGGGGAAGGACACTGAAATGGCTTTTTGTTGAGAGCCTCCTTGATGATTCTAATGCTCAGTCAGGTTTAAAATCTACTGGTTTGAATTAACTGGGTTAATGATTTTCACAAAGGAAGGAGTGCTCCCCTGAAGGCATAGCAGAACAAAACCCTCTGTGTGTGTGTTTTTGAGCGTGTGTGTGTGGAGGAAGGTCATAAATTTCCAAACTACACTCACGCAATGTCTGACATGTGGCTGCCTTCTCCCAGTCATATCTTGGCGAATATTGTAGATACTTCTTGAATATTCCAGAAAGGAGCCAGTGCTGGGAACCACTGTTCTAGTCCAGTGCTTCTCAAACTTTACTGTGGCTAGATCAACTGGGGATCTTGTGAAAGTACAGATTCTGATGCAGCATCCTGAGAGGAGGAAACCGACGTTTATGAAGTTATGATGATTTGGTCTGTTCTCTAGGCTATGTATTGGCAGCTTCTTATCTGACATGACTCTAAGGCTGAAATCACAAAGCTATCCTTTGGAAAACTTGATGAGAAGCAATTGCCAACTGTCTGGTGAAAACCAAAGGTAGTGAAGTCCCCAGAAGGGACATATCCTCCTCTTTATAGGGGAGACCTTTGGCACAGGGTGGGATCACAGACAGAAATTAAAGCAGGGGTGAAGGTCAGGACTGTCAACCACAAAGCCAGATGGAAGCTCACAGCAAATATCGCTGGGATTGTCAAAGTAACCCTGCATTGCCCCCAAAGAGGGATGGGGGTCTGAAAATAAAGCCTGCCATAGGGGGTTGAATGGTGGCCCTAAAATATGTCCCCATCCAAATCCCTGGCAGTGGTGAACGTGACTCTATTCGGAAAAAGAGTCTTTGCACATGTAATTAAGTTAAGGATCTTGAGATGAAATCATCCTGGATTATGCATGTGGGTCCTAAATCCAATGACAAATGTCCTCATAAGAAAAAGGCAAGTGAGGGGCCAGCCCCGTGGTGCAGCGGTTAAGTGCGCACGTTCTGCTTTTCGGCAGCCTGGGGTTCGCCGGTTCAGATCCCGGGTGCGGAGATGGCACCGCTTGGCACACCATGCTGTAGCAGGCGTCCCACATATAAAGTAGAGGAAGATGGGCACGGATGTTAGCTCAGGGCCAGGCTTCCTCAGCAAAAGGAGGAGGACTGGCAGTAGTTAGCTCAGGGCTAATCTTCCTCAAAAAAAAAAAAAAGAAAAAGACAAGGGAGATTTGAGACAGTCAGAAGAAGAGAAGGCACAGGCACAGAGCAGAGGCCATGTGAAGATGGAGGCAGAGATGGAGGGAGGCGGAGATGGAGGGACGCAGCCATGAGCCTGGAGACTCCTGGAGCCACCAGCAGCTGGAGGAGGTAAGGAAGGATTCTCCCCTGGAGCCTTAGAAGAGGGCACAGACCAACCCACACTTGATTTGGGACTTCTAACCCCCAGAACTGTGACACAATACATTATTGGTTGTCTGGACTACGCAGTTGTGGTCATTATTCTGGCAGCCCTTGGAGACTAATGCACCTGCCCTGCTGTTGATTCAAACACCACACACCACTTATTTGATTATCTTATAATGTGGCGGCTGTCTGCCACATTCATCGCCGATCATAACTGTGGGTCTGAGAATTCACCCTCTTGTTGTGTGACCCCAGATCAGCCAGCTCTCTAAACTACACTTGCCTTACCTCCCCAGCTTGTGCCTTCCCCAGTTTCCCTCAGTGGTGGGATAAACAGAAGGAGCACTGGATTTGGAGTCAGACAGACTTGCATTCCAGCCTCAGCTCTGTCAGCACTCTCTGTGCTACCTCAGACAAGTCACTTAGACAAGGAAGTTGATGCTCAGAGAAGTTCATGGTGCCTGCCGTCCAACCCCACTGTAGGATCAAAGAGAAGCGTGTCTGAGCACCTCGCATGGAGGACATGCTCCCTAAATTAGGTTCCGGGTCAGGAGAGCAGCCCATCTGTGAACAGTGCACCAGGGAGCTTTGGCTCCACTTCTCGTGGCAAGAGGAAAAGCACCAGCTCCAGCTTCCCCATCCCGTGGGCCTGGCTCTGTGTCAGGTCGGCCCACCTTGACACCCATGGGCATCTGTGGGTAGCTGTGATGCTGGGGCTGCTGCCTCCATGTCACTCTGGACAGCAGCCCTGTACCCAGGGCCCACCTGTGAGATGCAAGGGTAACCTGGTTACCCTGTGCTGTCCTCCAGGTTCTCTCCAGGACCAGAGATCCACCCAGAAACCAGGCAGGCCCCAAGCCAGATCCTGCTTTCTAGAGGAAGGGTGAAGTACTTCTCAAATATCCAGAGGGTTAGGCAACTTCCAAAATATTATACAGCTGTAAACTGATGGAGCAAGGGATCTCCACACAGTCTGCCTGACTCAGAAACCCATGTTCTTTCTCCCACCATCCCCCTGCTTCTCATTCCCCACAGAGGAGAATAACAGTGCTATCTTGCCAATTGGCAAAACAAAGCAAATAAATAGACGAGTAGATTGATTTTAAAATTAGTACACCAAATTTTCTCAATTTAAAGGTCTCTTTTTTCACTATAAATATTTCTTACACTTGGAGGCCTGCTATCATTTTACTGTGTTAATAGACATCAGGAGCGGGATAGATTTTTTGCTGAACCAGATACACATGTGGATATCCTAAAGGGACCACACGACCCATGCTAGGTGCTCCACAAAGAGCAAGTTGAGTTCCAGGTTCTCGGTGTGGGAACAAGTGTGTGAACCATTGCTCTTTTAGATCTGCCTTCACACACCAGGGTGTGGAGGGATGGATGGTATTTCCGGGTGCCCGTCTGGCATTCTGGTGCTGGGGTATCTCGCCCCTGCCCCAACCACACACCCATCCTGGGCGAGAACAAGTGGCCTGTCCACAAAAACCCACTGTTACTGGAAAGGGCATTCTCTGAACACTGACGTGCATACCCTCAACCCCGGCCTCTCAGGCTCGGCCTTGAAACTGGACATGCCCTCCCCGTTGGGGGGCACATTGGCATCATTCCTTAGTTCATATGCCAGGATCTGACTCCTGTTCCCACTAGCAGATGGGAGATTTGAGCTCACCGGGGCATTGAGGTACTTACTGCCTGTTCATAGTTCTTGGCTCCCGGCAAATAAGAGGGATCTTCAACTCAGCCTGTGGAAACAAAAGCAAACTCGTTACTGGGCCTTCACATCATGTTTTAATTCTGGTGAACATGCTACTGCCGTTTCTTGTTAAAATAGGATACCGGTGCTGGCTCAGAGGAAATGACGGAAAGAGAATCAATCCAGGTCAATAATTGGTTTATTTTTGGAGCAGAGTGGGGGAGGGGACTTTCCCCTGATATGCTGTCCTCTTTCTGTCAGCATTCATCCCATCTGCCCTGAGGAGCTCAGCAAACATATCCTGAGCCAGGTTTTCCCTGGTGTGCAATTGTGCGCTTCCCCTGGGCACCCGGGGCACGTTAGCCCAGGCTTGCTGGCTCTGCTCAGGGGCGTTCACGCATGCGCAGGAGAAGGCATGCTTCTCCTTTCAAAGTGTGACTTTGCCATGAAATATTTATTGGGAGTTACATTTATATACCGCTTCACATAGGACACAGCATTTTATTTGTGGCTTGTATTCACCCACGTAGGAGAGATCATTAGCCCAATTTACCACACAAATTAGCAGTGGAGACCCTGGGAGCATTTAATAGGGGCTTTCCATCAACGATTGTATTTAATCTACACAAAGGCCCTGGGAGGGATAAAGCATATTACTCACAGTATCACTTGGGGTTCCAGCAAGAAACAGGGGTCCCCTCAAATTGGGTAATTTGAGTTTAATAAAGAGACCACTTAAAAGGCGTGGACAGAGTGGAGGGAATTCACAAAGAACAGTGGAGGACCTGGGGGTGCTGTGACCGTGCCTGGGCCTGGAGGGGTCAGGGAGGCCAGAGGTCACTGGGACCCAGAGACAGGGCCGATGGAGAGAGAACTGTGGCTCCCAGTTGAGGGACCTGCAGGGAGGGAGCTGTGGTGGTGGGGGGGGGGGTGGGTGGTGAAAATCCCCATCTCACGTTCCTCCTGCCCTGAATCTCCTGCTGCTTTCTCCTACTGGACAAACTCAACAAGGAGCCAAGGCTGAGGAGCCACTGACATGGTTTCCATCCATCGGCCTCCTGGGGCTTCCGGTTGAGTGTAGCAGGTTAGAGAGTGGATTTCACTGTTAGAGAGAACTAGGCTCAGGAAGGTTAAATCATGTGCCCAAGATCCCTTATCTGCAATAAGAGCCCAGATCCACAAGACTCAAAAATTCCATTTCCTAGCCAGTCACTAAACTGCACCCCACTGAGCTTTAGGCACTTCTAGATCATTCTTCAATCCATCTGTCCATCCATTCATCCACCCATCTATCCAACTGCCATTTACTGAAAACTTACTTGGTACAACTATTGTGGCCAATAAGACACAGCCCCTGCCCTCAAGGCACTCCTAAAGCTCAGTATGATACAGATTCTGCATCCCTCTATGACGGCTGTTAGCAAAGGGCTTTGTAAAAACAGATGCATAAGAAACAAAACAGAACAAATCCAAGTTCTGCCTTGGAGAGCCAGGGGAATCTTCATAAAGGAGAGAATACTTGAGCTGGGTCTTGCAGAATAAGTCTGTGTCTTCTGGGCTTAGAATTAGGGAAGGTATTCTGGGCAGGTGGAGTGCTAGGTGCAAAAGTGTGAAGATGTTAGATTGCATAGTGTGCCCGAGAGGCTTTGTACAGCCTGGTGGGACCACAGAGGTCAGCAGCTTGGTGTTGGTCATATGTGAAAATGAATTTTTTAAGTTTTCAAGACTATCAAGTATCACGCATGAGAAAAGAAGAGATTTGGACTTGAGCTGTGTGCTCTTGGACCAGTAACTGCAGGAAAGTGACTAAAGAACTAGGACTGACTTCAGGTCCTCAGACGCCACATGTATTACCCCACAGCCACATCCTCCATCTGATGCTTCTAGGTCAGTGAATGACAGCAGGGAAAGGGGAGGTGGCTATTAGGCTCTCGTTCACCGACAGTCCTCTCTGGATGCTGTGTGAAGTGTCTAGTTCGTGGCCTCTTTGGAAGTTGTCTCTTCCATAGTGGTGGGGAACAGAACTCAAATATATTCGTCAATATAATACAAACAATGCACATCAAATGCTGGGAGATTCTTGGACTGGAAATTGAGGGACTCCGTTCAGTTCCAGTGCTGTCATTAACTAGCTGTGTGACATTGTGGGAGCACTTCATCTCTCCTCATTTATAAATAATGATGTCCTTATCTTTCTTTTACTGTATTGTTTTAAGTGTGAAATAAGCTGATGCATCTGAAAATGTCTTGCAAACTACAAAATGTTATGGAAATATGAATAACAATTACTTGCATAACAGTGTAAGGTTTGCAAGTTGCTTTAACATCAGTCATGTTATGTTTGGGTATCTAGGGTTATTGACACTGAGTTTTAGATTATATCAATATTTATAGGAATTAAATTACTTGATTATGGTCATGCGGGACAAATTTGTATCGCCCTTCCCCACTTTGAGAGCATCTACCACTTAAATATCTTGCTTATACAATCGCTTCATTCCTCTGAGTGCATTAACCGGCAGTGCTGAAGGAGCGCTGACAGGGGATAAAATAAGTTGACCCTTATGGAGGGCTCCCTATGCTCCTGGCCCGCGGCTAGCTCTTACAGACGGGGTGAAGGGATCACAAGGTGCAGGGCTGTCTCCTCCAAGGCAGTAAGCCTTGGATCCGAGGCCTGGGGAGGTGGTCAGGGAAGCTGCCTTTCAGGCCTGCTCCCATGGTAGACTGCAGCATTGAACAGAACATTGGGACATTCTGGGCTTCAATTTTTTCGCCTGAAAAACGAGCAGGTTGGGCCCAATACATCTCTTCCAGCTCAAAGATTTCATTAAAAAGTACTATTTAAAAAACTACAATTCATCCATATTTGATGACAAAAAGTGGTTTCAAAAAGTTGAGAAATCTGTTATTATGTTTCTCACACTTTATTGTCTTCCCTAATAGAACTCCCTCCATAGCGCTAACAAAGAGGACAACAGGGAGGGGCGGGAGGGGCCTGCGAGGAATCCTTAACTTTTGCCTTATATGTAAACCTTTGTAAGTTATTTGATTTGTAACATCAACACTTATTAGGTTTGTATATTAAAATCTTAATAAAAGTTCACAAAGATATTTTACTATTGGCTTTGGAGAGACGTGAGCAATCTATTGTACGAAAGGAATTTTAAAATGTCATGAAGACAGCCCAAACTTTTCTGGAATTTAAAAAGCAAAATTTGGGGGCTTAGTGACCCACCTTGGCGTCTGAATCAGCCAAGTGGTGTCATCAGCATGACAGAATGGACGGCACTCTACAAGGCCAGCAGCACTTTGCTCTACTCAGAATGCTGATGACCCTTGTGAGAGCGCCACAGTCTTATCTGATCTTAGTCATTTTGTAAAGGATGTGGCGAGCACGAGCCATGGTGAGTCAGACAGGAAGAATTTCACATCCATAGGGTTATGAAGGCAATGTGCTAGAGAAAGACAGGGCCCCTCCCTTCCTGACGTGTATTTTCAAAAAGAATAGAATGGACATCAAACACCTGCCATGTCTCCCCTGTCGCTGCCACAGTAACTGAATACGATCCATATTTCATTCTGCTTTTACTTTATTTTTTCATTTTTTTATATATATATTTTTTTCTGCTTTATCTCCCCAAACCCACCCCTGTACACAGTTGTATATCTTAGTTGCAGGTCCTTCTAGTTGTGGGATATGGGACGCTGCCTCAACGTGGCCTGATGAGCGGTGCCATGTCCGTGCCCAGGATCTGAACCCTGGGCCGCCGCAGTGGAGCACGCGAACTTAACCACTCAGCCACGGAGCCGGCCCCACTATTTTATTTTTTTTTGAGGAAGATTAGCCCTGAGCTAACATCTGCCACCAACCCTCCTCTTTTTGCCGAAGAAGATTGGCCCTGAGCTAACATCTGTGCCCATCTTCCTCTACTTTATATGTGGGACGCTGCCACAGCATGGCTTGATAATTGGTGGGTAGGTCCATGCCTGGGATCTGAACCAGAGAATTCTGGGCTGCCAAAGCAGAGCACGTGAACTTAACCACTGCGCCACTGGGCCAGCCCCTCATTCTGATTTTATACACAACCAAATGGACATTTGCAGACATTTAGTAACCTGCTCTCCATCCCATCTATAATAATCTGATATTGCAAACCATTGGCCTTGACACTTTTTAGTTAGTGTTGGGACAGCTGTCTACCTGTCCTGAGCCTCAGTTTGCTTATCTGTAAAATGAGGGTAACACAGCAGCTTTCTGCAAGGCTCTGCTGTGGATTAGATGAGAACATAAGGTATCTAAGACATGGAGAAATAGTGATGAACATTAGCTTGAACTTTAATTAAACGCCCTTTATCACTGTTAGGTTTTAGTCTCCAGAAATGAGAAGCACTTATCTGCGGTGAGTGACCAGCAGTGGGGCAGGCGAGGATTCTCACACCTGTCTGCCCTTTAGAATTACCTGGAGAGCTTTAAAAAGGACTGACACCCCAGAAGGCTTGGTTCAGTTGTTTCTGGGTGGAGCCCAGGTCTTGATAGTTTTTCAACGCTGCATGTACTCTGATGGGCTGTGAGACAGGAGGAAGGGGACCTGAGAGCACCAGTCCACGCTCATCTCTGTCTGCCCAGCTCCACTCACTGACATCTTCTCGTTCTCTGAGAAAGGATCAAACAATCACACTTTCGTTCACCCTGCTGTCCCAAATTTGCCCTAAACGGAAATACAGGAACTGCCGCTGCTCATAAAGAATCCTCCATATGTTTAGTTATTTCTGAGTTAATTTGCAGTGAAACATTTAGGAAAAATCCACCACATCCAAACGTTTATGACATAGATGAGAGTGAGAGAGGCTTCGAATCTCAGCGAGCAGTGATTTCTCTGTCGGATCTTGCCTACAGAAAACGAGTAAGTAAAGTCCAGGCTCACACGACTGTCGTATGAGGTGGAATTGGTTCACATATCCTGCAAACATTTAATGAAGCCTACTATGTGCTGGGCACCATCCAGAGAGAGGAATTAGAGGCCACCAGCAAGGCCCTGCTCTCAGAGC